TTTGGCATCCCTTCCAATTCTAACCATCCTATGATTCTGTAAAATCCCCTGGTGGTAGGGATGGCATGCTGTCCTCAGCAGTCCAGCCCTGCCAGCAGTAGTGGTGGTTTTGCTGCTAACTTGGGTCTACTTACTTACTTCAGTAGAAGCTTCTCTATGCCTGACCCCCACAGAAAATGGAGAGGAGCACATTCCTTCCCTTTTACAGCCATTTTTTAACCAACTGGAAGACAAATTATCACATCTATGTTCTGTGCCTCCCTTGGAAATACTTCCTTAGTCCATAGACAGAAAAAAGTTGAAGGCCACTGCTCTGCAGTAACCAATATTAAGCAAAGCTCTCATTCTCTATGAATGCAGCTTGTGAAATCATTCCTGGACTGTTTTCTGGGCTTTCTTCTGATTCTCAGCCTCTTTCCCACCTGCAGTTTGCCATCCCCTTCCCTGGGGCTGAGTGCAGCCCCCTTTCTGCCTTCTGGCTTGGTTTGCTTTTTCTGCACTTCTGCACTGTTCACACAAAAGCAGTTCTGTCTTGCCTGGCACCAGTCTCCCCACAGTCCTGGGAACCAAGGCACAGTCCTGCATCCCCTAGCAAAGCCATGGCCTGTCCCCAGTGCCATTATGGAGCTCAGGCAATGGGGCTACTCATGCTGCCAAGCACAATTTCATGCCTGGCCACACATAAACTATGTCTGGTCAAATGTCTTGGCACTTAGGTGCTCGCCTTTAGTCTGCCATTCACTATTTCTGCCTCGTTTAGAAACAGCTGCAATCTCTGTGCAGCTTGCAGGAAAGCCTTACACTGACAATTCAAGACTTTCAGGTAGTATGAAGATGGCAGAAATACTACAAACAGCCTTTTTCCAGAGTTTTCTGTGCCTTACATATTCTTTTCTGGGAAAATGTATTCTAATTGTGTTGTATGAATTTACAAATACAAATTGAGAGTACTACATTGGAAGAGTGTTGGAGGCTATTTGCAGTGCTCTGTGTGACAGGGATCAAGGCAGGCAGGCAAAGTTCATGTGCTCAGTGTCCTCAAGCTGGGACTAGAGAATGTTCTAGTAGTTTTTTAAAAGTTAATCTACTTTTGCTACCCATTAATGTACATCACCTTTCACCTTTTTCCAGTACTGTCTTTTTTTGCTGTAACAGTAATAGCAAATAGTTTAAATCAATGCTCCAGCAACCTGACTGCTCTCTTGCTCAGGTTTTACGGGGGAGGTGGGCCGATCCCAGTAGTGATGTCATGGTGTCTTTAGCAGTATTACAAAAAATTGTCCTCAAGGAATGGAAATGCACACTGATGCTGAGCAGAGCATTCTTGTATCTGACCAGTACCAAAGAACCAAAAAGACTGGCTTTGGGGCAGTAAATCCAACCAAAACAAGATTTCATGGAGAAAGATGCAAAATACAGAAGATAAATGTTTGCTGACCACTGGTGCTTGGGAGAAGAGTGATATATAACTACTAAAGCAGTGAAGCCTAAAACTAATATAACTTTACTTTTCAGTCATCTCTGAGATAATAATGCCCTGGCACCTCTTGTCATCCCAACTGTGTGTGCTGGAGTGGTGTCAGGCCACATCACCCAGCCTGTGAAGTGGATGCAATACATCATTCCTCTTCTTACTGATCATCCTTAATATTTTAAACCAACTGAGAGATAATTTCTGAAAGATACTACATGACAGGGAGCTAAATGTTATAGTGGTGCTGCACTAAAAGGCTCTTTTCAGGAATATTTTGACTGATTGATTATGATCCCCAGCTGGGGGACAGGCTCCTGGGCATTCACTGCAGTGTCTTGGTACTCTTCCTTGCTTGCTTCAAGTGAGTCTCTTTCCCATATCTTTCTTGCAGGGAAGAACAACTTCACAGAGCAAAATTGGTGAAATGGTGGCATCCAATGGCTGGTCTCAGATGGCAGATGCCAGCTCATGCACCCTGACTGCTGTCACTGACCTTTGCTTTTTACCCCAAACCAGAAAAAACAGTATTGTGAAACATCAGAGACCTCTGAAACAAAAAAAACCATCTTTCACCACCCACACAGCACTGTCAGCTGTGCCAGATCTGCCTCCACCCCCAGTATGCGACATTCACTCCTGAGAAGCTAAGTCTGGAGAGAGTTTGGCTTTTTCATTTAGTTTGATGCTTTTGAGACAGCATTATTCACCACAGATGCATCTGCACATAGTAGCTTGGGCCATTTGGGGTAAAAGTGAGAAGAGTGTCATGGAGGGAATGTAACCCTGTGCTGGGATAGGAAGAGGGACGATGGTGTTTTTCTTCACAGAGAAACAACAAGCAGAAGGAATTAACAGGGTAATAATTGAGCTTCTTGGCACTTTCCTACAAGAGACACATATTCCACATTTAAGAACCCCGGGAGGCCTTTATTCTTTTTTTTTTTTTTTTTGGAATGTGAAATATGGCTGTAATGAACACTGGTTCTTCCACAGAAGACAGCTGGACAGCAGCAGCTCATTTTGGAAAGCACATCCCTTCCTTTTTCCTTGCTCAGCTGGCTCCAGGGTCTGCTGTGCAGCCCAGACCAAGCATCCCTCTGCCCAGGGGTACCCCTGCTCCTCACCTATCCTGGAGCCCCCTCTCCACTGGCACAGCTGTTGGGGCAGGGCTGAACCATGGCCTTGCCATAATGGGGTTAACCTTAACCTGGTTTGCTCAAGAGCAAGCAGCCAGAGAGCAGCAGCTCCCAGAGGAAGCTGGCTGTGTGCCTGGCACTCACAGGATGCCAGGCTGCAGGATCTGAGTATCCCAGGAGAGGCTGTGACAAAAGGCAGACCATTGTGCCCAGCTTTCCTCCGTGACTTCAGAGGAGCAACTTGCTTTTATGAGGAAACGGAAACCGAGCACCTTATCTAATCCCAGGGACAGGCAGCTGGGGCCTGAGGAAGGGCAGGTGCTTTGTGGAGGTCGGCCAGTAAAATCATGAGATTGAAAACCCCAGTATACATTTAAATGATGCCCTTGGGAAAATGCCACAGCTGCCTCGTGTGAGGTGCTTAGATGAGAGATGCATATGTGGTAGAGGGAAATTTCGGATGCATAAAATCTCTCACTGAGGCTTTAGTGCCTCAAATCCAGCACTCCGGGAGTGCAGCTTTAGAAGTCTCAGGCCTAGCCTGCAAAATTCAAAATCCTCTTTGTATCATTCCCACTCAGTCAATCCTAACAATAAGTGTAAGTCTCTCAGCACTGATGCCCTTCCCTGCTGCTGGGAGGGGGAATGTAGCTCACAGACCCGTGGCAGGGTGTAATCACAGGATTCCCTGCTTGCACCATGTCCCCAGAACAGGGGAGGGGAGCTCTGAAGTGTTCATGTGTTCTACACACCTAATGGGAGACTCAGATGATATTTTACTTCTCCTTCTCCATAGCAAATACAGGGAATCACCAAGCTGAGCGTTTGTGGGAATTGTCATGAGATGTATTGAAGAGTGATGCAGGGTAGAAATGCTGCCCAGGATTTCCTGCTTCAGGCTCTCAATTTATACCTGATATTTCAAAGCCATCTTTAGAAAAACACCTTATCTTGACTGTGCAGGTAACAAGTCTTCCTTAGAAAAATATTCATATTATAATTGTGAATTAAAGGTGCACTCTGTGCTTCTTTATCCGTCAGAACTTTTCCCTTGGCCTGTCACCCTTGGCCTGTCACCAGCGCCTGCTGCTCACCCAGGCTGAAATTTGTACTCATGCAACCCAAAGCAAAGAAAAAAAAAGAGACTCACTGCTGATGCTGTAAGCTCTGCTGCCAGAAAAATTAGTGTTCAAGGCTATGCCATGGCCACATTTATCAGTTTAGTAGGTCATAAACACATCTCTGTAAAGTCTTAGATTAAATCCTGTGGAGGGCAACCTAAAGGATAAATTGAATTAAATAAAATCTGATTTATACAGCTTTAGGCTGCTGAATGCTTCTTTCAGTCTTGCCTGCAGATGCTGGATGTAATGCTTGGATCCTTTGTGGATTTAACCCTGTAGTGATCCATGCCCATCAATGGGATGATGCTGGTTTACACCAGATGAGGATCTCATCTGTAGCACTGTCTGTCCACCTCACATTTGGTTTCATACTGCAGTCAGACTGTAACAGATTTCTTAAAATGCATTTAAACACTCAAGAAAATGGACTGGAGGCATGGTGCAACTTTCCCCAAGTCAAGGAGAACTTGGAGCCTCCCTCCACACGGCATATCCGATCCAGACATGTCCGTACACGAGGAGATGTGATGGCATGAACAGATCTTCAGAGCAACAGTTTTCCAAGGCAGTCCTTGATCGAGCAGAATGTGCTGAAAGGCCAGAGGGGCCACGGGAGCCACCCTGGAGGGGAGAGCATTCCATGTGCTGCGGGTCCTGGCCATGGGGTTTGGTTACCCAGTGTTTTCCTCCCCAAGCAGGTTGTGGTTTCTGGCCTCAGGTCACAGCGTCATGACCTTGTGTCATGCCAGCTCAGCCAGGTGGTTTGTGGGGGAGGAAATAAAACTTGGCTCCTACCACATCCCTGCCCAAGCTCTGCCCCCTGGTTGCTCATGGGCACTAATTATGAGGGAGGCTCTTGCTCTGCTGCTGTATAATTATGCAGAGCACAGTCCAAGCCTTAATATAGGGCTGAGGCCTTAATATAGCTCTGAGTGAACTGCTTTTGATTTTCTCCTGTTCTTTGAAAATAGATTTAATCTTGTACCAAACAGTGGAGCAGCCTCCTAGCAATAGAATCCATATGGAATATGAGGTGGACACTGTGCCTGGGCTGGAGCTGCTGCCCAGGAGCTCTTACAGGAGGTTGATGTCTTGGTGCATTTGTTGTCTTTGGGTTCTGAACTCGGGGTAGCGAGTTCAGGAAACTGCTCCTTTCTCCACAGCGGTAAAAAATCTGGGTTTGCAGAGGAGCAAGGTGGGTTTGCAGATTTTGGATCTTGTGTAGAGGCAGTGTAGGAGAAGGCAGGATGCTGACTTTGTCCTGTGTTAGAAGCAGCTGCAGATTACTGGAACATCAATTTCAGCAAAGAATGCGCCGCCCTTCCCTCCGCTGGAGCTCTCCTGGGCTTGGCACACTTGCCGCAAAATCGCCGCTCTCCTGGTGCGCCCCAGCACCCGGAGCGCCAGGATGGCCAGGATGTGCTCCTTCCTGCAGAAACCAAACAAGACCTGGCTCAGATCTGGCCAGCAAAACCAGCCCAGAGCAAGGTGGTTGTTGTGAGCAACCAGCAGCTGTGCTGGAGACAGAGCAAGGCTATAGCAAAGCGCCAGGGACCGACCCCTCACCGCGCTGGAGGAGCCACCAGGAGGGGAGTCTGCAGCCTCTGGAGGTACCAAACCAGTAAGCAGCAGCTCCTGCCACACCACACTGGTGGGACAGCCTCCTGCTGCTGGTGCTGCAGGGAATTTCCTCCTCTCTCTCCACACCCGTGATGCCCTTTGTGTGTTTTCCAGAGTGGCTGTGGACCTTTTGTGTAATGATTATTTTGAGATGAGTAATGGAAGTGCTAATATTTAGGAAGCTGATAGACACTAATTAGATTAGAGCTGGAAAGCCAGCTTGGAAACATACCCTGTTCCAGTAATCTCAGTGTATACAAATTCAGCAATGTCTCTGAGAGCTCAGGGGAAAAATTAACAGGGACCTGAACAGGAAGCAATGCAGGTCCAGCAGGTTCCGCCTCATTTTCCAAACTTCATTGTTAAAATGATGTTACTCAATCATGGAAAAGCAGAAATTAAATAAACCAAGAGGACAAACCTTAAAACCTGGGTTGGGTCTGAGCCTAATGATGAAAAAGCAGCACAAATCACAGCCTTGTAAATGACTTTTCTGACTGGAAATTTGTTTTCAAATAACCATCGTTGATGATTAGCTGTCATTTACCTCCCCCATCCTTCCCAGAACAGGCACTGCCTGTTTCAGCTTAGTCTGGCCACTGGGATTAAACCCTTATTGGGGTTTATTTATTTGGCTGGTTTTGTTTGTTTTTTTGTTTGTACCTATCATTTTTGTAAGATTGGTATGATCACCTAGGAAATTGCTCAGGAACAATTGTTCTTTACATGTCCATGTCTTGAATTTCCCTACACAGATAAGCCTGAAGAATACCTGAACCACCCAAGTTAAATCTAGTTATGAAAAATTTTGAGCCTCAGTTTTGGGGTGAGGTGAATATATTTAATGTGATCTTTTTTCTCAATATTTGAGGGTCCACTACAGTATTCTAGCAATTAGTTAAATCTTATGGATTATTTTGATTGCATAAATGTCATCCAGTGCTGAAACTTTTGGTGTTTTTTGTTCAGGTTTTTTTCTTTCTTTCTGAAATTACTCTGATGAAATGGAATTTATTGCAGTCTCTACTACTGATATTCATTCTCAGTGGTTGAAAGAAGAGCTATAGAAGAGAAGGTAACTTCTGATTTGCAGCTGCTTAGCCATGCACAGAGCTAGTCACTTTCTTTACTTTTCCAGGAGTTTTACATTTTCCAGATGCAGCCTTGGAACAGAAAATGGAAAGTACAAAAGAAAGAATTTGTAATTTATTCCAAAATTTAATGGCTGTGTTGAGGCTGTTTCAGAAATTGCAGCTGAACTGTGTCAATGGCTGCCACACTGAGGGCTGGGCCTGGCAACAGGAGACAAACTATTTGCTCCAAATCTGGACTCTGCAAATTGGCAAACAAGGCTGATGCTGGTGATGCAGGAGAAAGCAAACTGGAGCTTCACTGTGAAATAAGGTTCATTTAGAGCAATAAAATGGAATTCAGTGATAGAATGAATGGGGATGGTTCAAAACTGTGTCAGGGGAGCTCTAGACTTGACATTATGAAGCATTTTCTAAACGAGGTGCTGGAGCAGGTTTCCTAGAGAGGTAGTCAGTGTCCCAGGTCTGTCAGTGCTCAAGAGGCATTTGGGTAATTTACATTAACAGGCCTTTAATAATTTAATACATTAACTTTTGGTCAGGCCTGAAGTGATCAGGAAAGTTGGACTGGATTATCACTGCAAGTCCCTTCCTAATAGACTGAAATAGTTCTATTCTATTCTATTCTATTCTATTCTATTCTATTCTATTCTATTCCATTCCATTCCATTCCATTCCATTCCATTCTAAAATGAAAAGGCTTTGAAGGCAATTTGCATGCATTATATGATACAGCACACAGGGGAAAAAATTAAAAAGTATGCAGCCATAAAGAGAGAAAACTAAGTTGGGATTCCCTCTGTTGCTGGCATCCTGATCTCTAATGTGTGGCCACCAGCAAAGAGAAGCTGAAGAGCTCATCCCAGGCACAGGACAAGCTGGTGCTGTTTGGGATGGAGCCCAACAGTTCTGGCATCTGCCTCTTCACATACCTGATATCTGGATAGTCCTGGCACAGCTCCTTGACATATGCCTTGATCTTGTCTTTTTTCTTCTCCCCAATGATATTGGCAATGTGATAGATGACAGGGAGGAGCCAGTCAGCTTTGGAGCCCTGTGGACAAAGAATCACATGGGGATGTCAGGGACAGCAGCACCTGCTAAATGCCTTTTTCCCTGCGGGGAGAGCACGGCAGTGGGATGCACTGGAGTGACCAGGACTGGTGCAGGCAGGACAGGCTGCCTCTGGCAGGCAGCAGGGTGCTGGGTGGCAATGGCAGGGCACCCCTGGGGCTCTCCCAGACCTGACCCTGCAATTCTGATTCCCATGAGCACCCAAGCAAGGCAGACCCTGAGCAGGGCATTGTGGCTGTGGGCCAGCATGGTAGTGGATGCCAGAGACTTCACCTCCTGCTGCCTGATAGTTTCATGTGCCTCATCTCTGAGATAGGATTTAGTGCCCTGGATGCCTGACTTTCCACAAAATCCAAATAATTCAACTTTGATTTCCCTGAAAATCGCAGACTGTTGCTGTGAGAGATGGAAATGTTAAAGGTTAATAACTCAACCAACTGCAATCATTGATTGTGACCAACAGACCCCTAAACTGCAACAATCAAGTTTTGTTGCTGGATCTACAGGTGGTGATACCCTCTCTCTGCTATCTGCTTTTATCCTTTCTTTCTTTTCCTTATATATTTTCCTAAGTGATATTTTTATACTTTTATAATGTTATATTACTATAGGTAATAGCCAAAATGGCTACATACCTCCTTTCCATTGTAATCAAATTGTTTTAAAATAAACCAGCCATACACACACACACACACACACACACATACACACATCTATCTATCTATCTATCTATCTATCTATCTATCTATCTATCTCTCTCTCTACATCTATATATCTCACACCAGTCATTCAGTGTTATGCCACTCAAATCTGGCCCAAGGGATTTATTAACAGGAACCTCAGTTACCCCACCTTCATGGCTGGGTTCTAACAGTTGTCCAGTCACAAAACTCTCAGACTGCCACCATTTTCTCCCCACACCCTGCTGTACAGGGACTGTGCGCCCAGATGGAACTTCTCATGGGACTCAACTCCGTGAGCTGTATCCAGGGCAGGGACACTTTGGTGACAAAGTGCATCCCATGGCCTGAGGGAACAGGCCCAGGAAGAAGCTGCCATAGGATGAGTGTGATGAACCATGAGCACATGAACCACCCTATGCAGAACTCCCTGGGAACACATTAAAACAGCAGGTGCTGCCATCAGAGAGCTGCTGGCTGAACATGCACAAGCTGCCAATGCAGAGAGGCTGCCAGGCTGGAAACCCACACCATGAACCTGCAGTAACGACCCTGCTCACTCTCTTTTCAGCACTTCTATGTTTCTTGCAGTTTGTCCTCCTCAAGAGGTGGTCCCTGCCTGGTCTCTGTGAAGCCAAGCGGGAAAATTGCACCTCTGGGAGTGGGGCAGCCAGGGGATGCCAGGAGACAACTCCCATACCTGATCAATGAGTGCATTGTGAATGATTGCAGCTTCCTGGCTCATCTTTCTGCTCACTTGCTGACGTGTGTCCCTGTTCATTTTCCATCTGGGCTTGATGATCTGTGTGACATATTCCTTCACCACATATTTATGAACTTCATGTAGAAGGTCCTGGTTAAAAAGAAGCAAACCTCATGGAGTTTTTTGTCCATTCAAGACCAAGGCAGTGAGAGAGGGCAGGGAAAGCCCCCAGGTCTTTGGCAGTACCAGGGAGGTACAGGAAGGCAGCACAGCATCAGCACACACTCACTCATACCTGCAGCCCCCAGAGTTATAAAGAGCTACCACTGTTGCAGAGGAGTCTGAAGGTCTCACCACAGCCTGAAGATGATGGAGTGGCCCCTCAGCATTCCTGTGCCCAGGTGAGGGACTGGCTGCCTACCTGCCCCAGAGGCTCCCTCATATGCTGCAGGTGCTCGGAGAACTGCGAGACTGCCGACGCCAGAGAGTCCGGCCTTTCCGTCGCCAAAATCCAGCTCTTGCTCAGGATTTTCTTAAGGAGTGGCTGAAAAAAGACCAACTCACTGATGGCACAGGTGTGTTCAGAGTAGCTGATGATGCCCTAGCTGAAGGCACCCAGCTATTCACCTGATCTAGGCTGGAACTGAAAGCACAGAGCACCCCCTCTGCATGGAGGCACACAAGGAGCAGGCTGGGTTTCTCTCTCCACCCCAGGCAATTCACACCCATGCCTCCCCTTCCTGGGTAGGCATCCCAGTGCAGAGAGGAGAAACATCACACCCTGAGCAGGAGATGTTTTGGCATTAAAGGTTTATTTAGGATATCTCATTTCCTTGCTCTGTGCCACCTTCTGGTCCACCAACTCTATTTCTTTAGGTAAATAAATGTATTTTTCTAATGTATGGGGGAAGAAAGAGATGAGAATGTTAATCACAAGCAACTCAGGCATGACTAGAACAGGCTGTGGTGGGCAACCATGTATGCCAGTATTACATGGAAACAAAAATTCACTTGGTAGTGAATCTCTTGGAAATCAGCTCAGTAACCCATCACCTCTACAGCATTTTCCATAAGGAAATCAAGCTCTTTGTATTCACAGTCCTTCCAGGAGGCTCTCTGTACTCCTGCAGACCTGCATGAAGTCTTGCTGGGATTTTCCTTCTGCAGCTTGCTCAGATGTGGTGGTGGGGGGAATGGCAGCTGGGAGCATCTCCAGCTTTATGCCTCATGGTTAGGGATGACATGGGACTGATGGCACTGTTTCCTATCTGTCCTGGGTACAAGGTACTCTGACCAAGTGTCCTTAACAGGTTATTTTCCTTTGTTGTGTCCCTAGAGCTAATGTACCCTCATATAGAAACAGCAATATCTGCTAAAGACTTCTGGCACCTGGAAGACCCTTCCCTAAAGGTCAAATGCAAAATATCCTTTCTCTGGCATGTCCCCTTTTCTCTTCCCAGCTCTCTGTCTTTAGACTCCTGGCAGTCTCCTTCCCAATTATCTCCCCCCTTGCTGTGCTCCCAGCCTGCCTGAGAGCAGTTTAGAAATGCTTTGATTCGGCCTCTCTCAGTTCTCACGACATTTCAGCTCTCTTGCTCAATGCCTTGGCTAGGGCCTTTCCTCATCTGCTGCTTAGGCTCCAAAACAAGATCTGCAGTCACTGGAAAGTCCCCTTGGCCAGGAGGGCTTGGCTTAGGTTGGAGAAATTCCATGACTGTCCTAGTTTCTGGAAGTTATGTTTGGGGATTTAGAAAGTGAATTAGGATAAGTGAAAAGGGGTGGGACCAATGATTTGATTTCCCCCATTTCTTCTATAACACCAGCTGGAGCTAGCAGACCCCAAGTGGCTGAGAGCAGAAAGGTTCAGTCAAATTTTATCAGTTTTATCAGTTGATACAAGACCTTTAGCATTCTCATTCTGGAACAATCAGTCTTTTGTCATCATGGGAACAGCCTGGAAAAATCACCCCTACCAGAATGAATTCTGTCCTATCTGAAGAGGACTGTCCTATCTGTCTGACAGACTGTGATGGTAGATCTATGAATCAGTAAGTCAAAGTCCTGAAAAATCCAAATGATTTGATAGAAGGAAAAGTGTCCCATTGGTGGTGTTCAGTCTCCCGTGCTTCACTTCAGATAAAATTTTCCCCACTGCTTTGCCTGAGACTGGAAGCTGCTAAATATCCTTTTCTTTTGATTGCTATTAACAGCTTGAAAAATGTATCATTGCTCCTAGAAAAAAATTCCCAGGATGCTGGAAGTGTTGCTTTTTAAGGGGGATTTCCACCGGTGTTAAATACATTTTGGAGGGACCATAATGTCATGTGCTGCAAAATGAGGTTTAGCTGGTGAGACAAGGGAAGGGCAACGACCCTCAGCTGCTGCACATAACCCTTATAATAAGGAAATATTGTGGCCAAGATCCTCTTACCTGTGTTTTTGTTCTTAATTTTGTTAAAAAAATGTTTGTGAAGTTCCTTGTCAGAGTTGCCAAAATCTTCTGCAGTTCCTCAGTATTGACTTTAAACACTGTTTCCAACCCTGACCTACAGAGAGACAGAGATCACCAATGAGTTAAGGTTAAAATGTAAACTATTACATGGCCCTAAGCATGTTATCTGGATTGGCATGATGGATATTATTTTAAAATAAACTTGAGTTTCTACTACTTCCTCTTGGAAACACTTACTGAGTCAAAGTAATGGCTCTTTTTGCACAATCCTGTACACTGAAAATTAATCATAGATGAGTAACTGTGGTGAAAAACCCCCTCAGATTTCCTCATCAGGTGCAGTGACAGTGCAGCCATGCAGAGCAGTTGCGTAGGCCAGTTGCTTTTTCACTTGAGCAACATCTCTGCAAAATGATTTCCAGGTACCTGGGAGAAAACTGAGGGCTGTGGGGGGAAAGTAAATAATAAAGCCAGAGAAGGGAAAGCTGCTGACCCTGTGTGCCCCCAGAGCCTGTCTGATTCACTCCACACAATGTCCAGCAGCATCAGCTGGGATGGTAACTACAGGGATGGAAACCTGTGGAATTTCCTAAGGACAGTGCATACTTCTGCAATGTTTCACCTTACAAGAAAGAAAATTCTGAGAGGTTAATGAAATTCCTTGTGTGTGTGTGTGCTTTAGGGGCATTGTGACCTCCTGGCTCTCCTCTCACTTTCCATCCCTGTCCCACTGTAACATGCTCAGTGTTGGTGAGGAGGGGAACTGAGGCAGCACCACCACAAAAAAAAGGCATCACCTGTGATGCCTGAGCATCCCTGGATGTGCCACATCCACTGCTGTAACCACAGAGAACAGCAGGTTCCTGTCACTGCCCAGATTTATGTCTGAGGCTGCCCTGGCAGGACTGCAAGGCACCAACACCATCCCTGCATCCCAGGCTGGAGCTCAGGACTGTAACTCCAATTGAACACCTGAAATCTGGGTCCAGCATCCCAAAAATCGTGCTCTTAGGACGCCTACCTCGGCCCCACAAGTCATCACCCCGGGCTGATGAATGTTTAATTGACTCAGGAATAAACCCATCACCCAAACAATTCTAGCTCCCTGCCTGGGGCTGGCGTCTCCCTTCAGCCGCTCCCCATCGCCCCGCAGGGAAGGGGCAGCAATGTCCCGCAGGGGCAGCAGGAGGCAGGGAAAGCCATTTCCTCGGCGAGGTGAGCATTGCTGGAGACACCGTGCCATCTAGAGACGTGCTGGCGGTAGTGCTCGCTGCGGATGGAGCCGTCGGCTCCTGCGAGACAGCTCCAAATCCCCTCCGTCCCCCGGGAAATTCTTGGCATGTGCATCCCTGCCGGAGCGGTGCAGCAGCAGGGGCTGGAAATCACACCCCAATCTTTCGGGTGACCAGCGCCCACGCACTAATCCTGTGCTGTTTGGCCGGGCTGACAGACAAAAGCAGCACATCTGCATGGCAAAGATGTCCCCAGATGCTGATGAGCCCCTGGACCTCAGCACGGGGCTGATGGACCAGACCCTGAACTCACTGCACCGTCCTACTTATGGGGGAGTGCTGGATCTTTGACAATCAGCCTGAGGATACCTGTTCTTCAGAGGTATTTTCCAACATGTGGCTTGAAGTAACTAATTCATGCAAAGCCCTGGAAGTTCCAGATGCCAGCAGCAATGGCAGGCATTTATTTTTGGGTTGAGTGCTTTCATGGAATCTCCTCCAGCCCAGTGCCAAAGGCAGCCTTGAGGCCATGTTTCTGAGTTTTTTCTGCTAACCTCCAAAACAGAAAAAAAAAAAAAAAGGAAAAAAAAACTCCCCTGAGGATGAAAAAGATGCTCTGAAAATGAGTTCAAAACTCTCTTGCAAGCACTGCATCCATCCATATTTCTGTCTCTTCACCCTTGTTGCTTTTATTTGCATTCCTTGGGGGAAATCCTCCCATGAAATTAGAAGGGCTGGAGGCTGAGCACCCACCAGGGCACCTCAGGGACAGCTTGGTCTTTCCTTTCCAGATTGTGCCACCCCCCAGACCCCAGAAACCCCAGTGGCTCGGGTGGAGCAGACTTACACCAGGTCATGGAAGCTGTTGATGTAGGCAACAAGGTGGGGCACAAAGCTGGGGCTGTCCTGGGCAGAGCTCCACGCCATGAACTCCTGCTCAAACCTGTAGGAAAATACAGCCAGGTATCACTAACGGTGGGGCACCGAGAATGCCTCATCTTCTGTGTATGTGGTGGTGTCAGGAGACACCTGTGGCTGGCCCAACCTGTCCCCTCTGTGTGCAGACAAGCTTTTTCCAGCTGTCATAACAAGTGTGTGCAGTGGAGGGAATAGATGGCAGATAATTGTGGGTTTAGGATGTGCTCGCTTGAGCAGGTACGCAGCGCGTCTGGAGAGATGCCAGGGACGTTGGGAGGCCAAATCTCTGACTTTTCCTCATGCTGAGGGTTTAATTGCAGGTGTGCTACACAGGCTTTCATTTTGCTGGCTTTTGGGGCAATATATTATGTGCCTTTTGAGAATGCAGGGCTGATTTTCTAACAGAAGATGTATAGGAATAGGGCAGCACACCTACCTTCCCTCCCCCCAGAACCTCACTGTGGTTTTTAGGTAGTTGTTTTTTTTTTGCAGCCCCCATTTCATGGGGTTAACAGATGTTTCACAGCAGATCCACACTGAAGGCAGGAGGCTGTGTGCTCAGGCAGCCTTTGCCTGGTGGTCCCATTCTTTGTCAGGGTATGAGCTGGCCCCAGCCTCTTGCATCTCAGGTTTTTTAAGTGAAAGCTTAAGTTTTAGTGTTCCCTTAATCTGAGAGCCCTAGTTCCTCCAGCTTGCATTTTACGCAGTTTTTGGTTTGAAAAAAAAAAAATAAAAGGAAAAAATTAAGGGAAAAAATTAAAAAGAGAACAAATAAAAGGGAAAAGAAGAACAAAAGAAAAAAAGAAAAAAGCATTCTTTCAGCAATTTTCATTTGGACACTGTGTAGATTTTAAGGGGCTTGGGAGGCAGCCCAGCTGTGTGTTTTGCCAGGGTATACAGAGAGGGTCTCATCAGCCCTTTTTTATGTCCATAGCCAGAGAAAATAACTCAGCAGGACTCATCCCAGGGTACCCTTTTGGGCAAACAGGCTTTTGGTCTGAGGGGTCCATAAACACGGCTTGCTCATGACTGAAGCTGCAAGTGATCAGTATCCAATGTCACAAAAGTCCTGGGTGATGGGACTGCAGTGATCCCATCCCTTTCTAGGTAGCAGCTATTTCCCAGACCTTTGGCATTAGATTTTTGGACTCACAGAGTCCCACCTGGGTCTGTTTATGACTCCCTCCAAGCTGTTTTGCAGCTTGCTTTTTACTGGGTTCACTGTGATCTCTAATTTTCCCAGGAGCAGCCTTGTACCTGCTCAGTGCCAGTGTCTGGTCCAGTGCCTGGACCTCCTGCCTGATTTTTTACCAGTGTGGGACTCATTTAGAAAGAAAGTACTGCCCAGAGCAGTGATGACCTTGGTATGAATTCAAGCAGCTCTGCCATGCACAACTCAAGCATTTTTGTTTCCAGGCCTCCACTGATAGTTCCAGATGACTTCACGTGCTCCCCAATGATCTAGAAAAGGGAATGAAGAAACTCCAGTGAGTGGGACAAGCACTGGTGAAACATCCTTCCCAAGGATCTCAGGCAGCTTTGGCTGGTAAGAGTGGCTCACCTAGCAAAGGGGCAAACAGCCAACTTGTTGCCAGGAGGTTTTCATTAATCTCTGGCAGTTTTAAAAGTTATAATGCAGAATGGGCCAAGAAGCACCAAATTATTTGTGATGTCATCATTCACCCCTAATGGCCTCATGCCCTTCTGCTGTCTGAGTGTGATTAGAGGCAATGTTGGCTGTAGCTCTGGGGTGTCCTGGTGTCATCCTCCTCTTTTGGGGGAAATTGCTGGACTTCCCCCAACCCTAAGCCCAAGGGCAGCTGAGCTGTCCCGTGTGTGACTCCATGATAAGGGTGTCTGTAAGCCCCATCCCTGAGGGCCCACACAAGCCCCCTTCTCAGGAGTGATACCAGGGCAGCACAGAGGGTCAGGCATCACCCTGAACTCTTGTTTGCACTGGAACTCCTCCCACATTCCCATTCCCACAACCTCAGCTGCACTTCTGGACTGAGGTGTGCTGCAGCCCTACTCTGGTACTTCCCGTGGCTCCCTATCCATCTGCTAAATGATTTCAGACCTGCCTTCCCTGTGATCACATAATGTGTCATATTCCTCTATGGAAAAAAGAGTCACATCAGTGGGCAAAACTCTTTGATTTTCTTTCTTTCTCTGTCCCTCTCTTTTTCTGTTAGTATTATTTAATTGAAGTGACTCAACCAATTGAGTGATGAGAATTAATCCAAACCCCTCCTGCCTTTATTACCCTGTAGTCCCTAAGCTAGTAGGAGCTTTTGTTTTTTGTACTGTTTAAATTGGAGTGGCTGTCACTGCCTACAGCCTTTCCCCAGCTTCCACAGCCCTGGGACAAAGTTGCTCTTTAAGCCAAAGGTTTTTTCAAAGAAACCTTTTCTTTCCACCTTTTTTCCAATTCTCTTTCTTCTTCCTAATCAAAGAGGTTTAGGGACTTTAAAATCAGTTGCCTATTATGTTGCTGACACAATTGACAGCAGGTTTAATTTGCAGCTAGAAGGCAAGCGGGAGAGCTAAAAGTTGTAATAAATGGCATTTTCTGCTCTAATGTATTCTGCCAGTGTGTGACTTACATAAATTATCGCAGGAGTCGGTACCTCTACCCCAGAAGGAAACGATTCAGTTTCCCTGGAGCCTCAGAGACACCTCCCCCCATCCCCCAGCTAATTAAATACCGTTTGAATATCAAAAGAGACTGAGGCGTGGTAGAGGTTTTCCTCCTCTTCTAAATGAACTTCCTTCTCCCACTTCTCCGTGACCTCCAGTCTCAGGATGTTTCCAAAACAACTTTTGATTTTCTCCTAAATGTTAAACATAGGAAGGAAACATGCAGCTCAGGATAATGGAGCAAACACAAGTGCAGCACCTCGCTGCATTTTGCTCCATGAGCACGCACGGCATGATAAGGTGAGCAGAGCCACAGGCCTTGCTCCAGACATCAGGAGAAACCAGGAACTGTGCTCTGTGTGTGCAAGGTCCTCCCAAATCAAAGGAGAGTCTTTTTCCTGGCAGGGAAACAGTGGATCAGCTGTTTGTTTGATTGCAAAGTCCTCCAGCACATGGAATGCACCAGGTCAGGATTAAAGGTCAAACCAGTCCTTTCCAGGGTACAGCCACTCAGGTAAGCAGCAGCACTGCTCAGTCCTGGCTGATAAATCAATCTTGTTGCTGGTGAAACAAAAGTGATCTTTCACCAGCATGGTGGAGCAATACTGATTTCATTCAGCTGGGTACCTTGAGCTCACCTTGAGCTGTGCCTTGATTCAGAAATGATTTGCAACAAAATGTCTGAGCCCAGCAAAGACCCAGGAAAGTCTTACACAGGGCGCCAGGCAAGGACTGCAGAAAGACAATGGGGAAGGGGCTTCATCAGAGACACAAACATGAGTGTGTTCTCTGGTGGGAATGCCCAAAGTCTGCCAATAGCACACCTCAGCTGGGCTGGAGGAGATCCTACACAGGGACAAGCTGCTAGAATGCCTTAGCCCCTGACTTTGCAATGCAAAGTACAATCTGCTGAAGCCCAGCAATGACCTTTCAGAACGTGTCTGCCGTACTGAGTGGGTCTGGTACAGTCCTGTTGGCTCTGCTTGGGTCCCCAAGGTGGCACTCAGGAGTTTTTTGCTTTAGAGTACAGGCCACTCTGTGGGGCCAGTAGGACTCAGCACCTGGTGGGGCTGGAAATCACAATGTAGTCATCCAAGACCTCTGTCTGGGAGGCTGGGGCTCCTGTACCTTCCCTGGGGAGCACATGGGGTCAAAACTCTCACCTTTGCAGAAGCAATGTAGTCATTTTTCAGTTTATCCCAATCAGCTGGTGTTAACAGCAAGGACAGGTTTTCTGTCTTAACCTCTGGTTTGAGCTCAGGATGACCCAGAAAGAATTCACTGGAAAGAATCAAATGAAAAATTGTAATGCCTCAGAGTGTGAATAAACTGATAGAATATTCATGCAGCATGAGCTACATAATTACTAAGCCATGAGAAATATACTTAAAGCTTAAATTGTGCCGCTTGTTTTCAAGGTTTAACAAGAAAATCTTTCCTTTCTATTCAAAATCCTAATTATTCAAACCCAAAATGATCTAAGGTTCCAGCCCACTTCAGAAATCATGAGACTTCTGAGTTGTTTGGACATGAAAAGTGCTATGAGAATTTACTTTTTAAAATAAACAACGTGAAGCTGACTCATTTGACTAGAAGCTTGCAAAATGCTTTTCAGGGTAATTCCTGTAGTAGTGCATTGCTCTGGAGTTAGCCCATCTCCTGCCTCCCCTGCAGTGTCACATCACAGCTCATGGCAGCCTGTGTTTGTCCCTGTGTGCTGTCCTGATCCAGGGGAGGTGGCAGAGCAGGACCTGGAGGGCACTGCCATGCCTGGGACACGAGCCATGCTCCCCTGCAGATGGAAGTGGTGGGTGGACGTGCAGCTACAGAGTCTGACTCCAAAGAGGGCTCCAAAGCTGACACCAGACTTTGCTGCTCACTTTCCTCTGGACTTACATGTAATCAGGCCAGCTGATTAGCACAGGAGCAGGGGAAGGGAGGGAGTGCCTGTGTTCCTCCCTCTGGGGCAAGAAAAATGTTATTAGCCTGTACAATTGAATGTGCTGCTCCTGCAACCTGCCACAGACTGTGTAGGTACTGCATCTTGCAGGGCAGTGAAGGTGGAAACGAGAAAGAAGAAAATATTCATGCCCTTGATGAAGGTGGGGCCTAAATTTTGAGCAGTCATCTTGTTAATCGAGGAACACGCCTGCAATGTCCTTCACACAGCCTGCACACTTGCTCAGCCACCAAAAAGGGTTCCCATTGCCACACCAGCACTGTGCCCACAGCTGGGTTCAGATACAAGTGAGGACTGTAGTGTACAAGGTCAGGCTGCTGCAGAGTGACTGCTCAGCATAAAATAAGTTCAGCCTGCTGGTAGTGTCCTGGAGTCAATGGTTCCGTGGTCATAGTTCAGATTTCCCAGAAAGGAACATCTCCACACGTGGAGCATTGCACAACCCAGCTGCTGCCAGAGCCTGCTGCTCCTTTTAAAGGAGAACACAGATTTAAATATGGACTCTCCACCACAACTGAAAGGACAAATATGTACTCAAGGGGCCTATTCACACTTCTCCCACCTCTTTCTTTCTTTTTTTTTTCCCCCATTTGTTTGAATTGGAGTTTGAATTGAGTTTGGGTCAGTCAATCTCTTCCTTTTTGATTATTGATTCCAAGAGACAATGAAGTTTTTTTGAATGGGAAAATCATATGGAAATAGCCCAGAACAGCCAGGTGACTGCAAGCAGTGCCCAAAACAACTGCAAACTCTCAATAAACCCTTTCACAGCAATTATGGCAGGGGCACTTTTCTTTGGTACAGAACCTGGCTGCTGAAGCTAATTTTTCTCTTTCTGTCCTGCAATGCCAGGGTGAGGTCATGCAGGAATTTCCCTTCAGATGAGATCTGCAGGGATTTGTGATGCTGAGGGGGTTACACACATCATTATGGTCACCACACTCTAGGTGGCTTTTAAGAGCAACTGGGTTAAGCTCACAGAAGAAACCTCTTGAGGGCTGTTCAAAACCAAGACCACCTGCAATGGAAATATTTCTTACCCAAAAGCTACCCCAGGCTAGGGGTGTTCTGGGCAACAGTGTGCTGCTGCTTGCCCTGCTCTGTCATTGCCTTCTTTCTGACCAGTTTGACCCACTGTTTGGCTCAGTGCTGATACTCCTGCCTTCACTCCTTCTTTGTTTTATTTGAGGGCTGCCAATGGCTTTGTGTTTCTCCCTTCCTTGAACATCTGGTTCAGGCCATACCTGGAGCCCAGCTACCAGGACAGACACAACTTTGCTTTGGCAGAGCTGTTTTCCCATTCTTATTTTCCAGACCCCTGAACTGCAAGGAGCTATGTCTTAAACCCCTCCCATTCAACCAACAGACACATCTGAGACAGAGCCTTTGTTTTCATGTGTCTAATTACCTCAATGATGTCTTGACTCCTTTTAGAGGACTCTGACCCCTTGCATGGGGGTTAATGTGGCCCGTTTCCAAATGTATCACACTTTTAATTAAACAGGAAGAAGACATCCCCCACAGGCCCCTGCCTGTGCCTGGAAAAGTCACTGAACAGCTGTTGGATCTTGCAAAATATATGCAGAAAGGAGCACGTTTATCAGAGCAGGTTTATCAAATGCTGGGAGGAGCTTGCGGGCACACGGGAACAGCAAGTGGGAGAGGGAGGGGAAAATGGGGTGATGTAGATCTGTAAAAAGCAGCAAGTGCTTTATCCACAGACCTTTGTCCCCACCTATTAACAGATTTGCTATCTGGCTCCACTGTAGTCACTGCATCCCTCTTGCTTGCTTGGAAAACTGAGAACAGCCTGGTGCTTTTGTAGTACCCCACAGCCCCATGGCTCCCCAGAGGAGGCAGAGGCATTGTGGCAAACACAGCAGCTCACCTGTGGTAGGTGTTGGCCACCCAGTTAAGCAAGGTGTAGAGCTCATGGAAGTCCAATGGTCCCTGGGAGAGTTCTTGCAAATGTGAGGCAACGGCATTGTGAAAAGCTCCCACATATGTGTCACACACCTGGTACTCCTCTGGATAGCATTTTTTCACTGATGACTTGATTTTCAGTAAATCTTCCCTCAGGTGTTCCTGGAGGAAATGTAAGTGGAAATCAAGCCAAGTTTCTTCTTCCCTTGATGCCATGGGTGCCTTCAGGACTCTTTTTCTTGCACTCTCATTGACAGCTTCCCTCCATTGCTCCCTCCACTTTCTGGGCCTGCCCAGCAAATCTGAGCCAGGACGAGCAGCACTGTCTGTGCTGGAATGAGCTGCTTCTTCAAGGGCAATTAAAGTCACCATGGAGGTCAGCATGGTATGCTGTAAAGTGGGATCCTCCAGTGTTTCCTCCACTATGGACTTGATTGCATTTGTGATGGAGTTATAAAGCAAATCCACATCCTTGGATTTCCGTACAAGCTCCTGGGGGTTATCTCTGTATTTCTCAGAATCCCGCTCAGAGATGGTCTCATCTTCCATTAGCTTGATACTTGCAAATGCTTGCAAAAGTTGTCTTTTCTGAATGAGTTCATTGATTTCCATTACTGCAGAAACAGGGGGAAGGGGTTGGGACAAAGCAGGCATTAGGTTACTGACAGGTTGGTAACAAGATGCCTGACAGGGAGACTTCCAGGGGGCTGTTCAGAGTAGTCAGGTCCCAGCAGTGCCTCTGAGACTGCCCCCAGGCCTCCCTGATCTCCTCAGCTCCTCTTGGACACAGGAGAGGAAAACAGGAGGAAAGCAATCACTGCAAATTGAGCCACATCCCTAAACAGCTGGTTACAGAAACAGGAAACATCAAAAAACCTGCTGACAGCTCTTCAGGAAGGCCTCAAGCAATGGCTGGTGAGGCTGCACAGAGGGACACTGGAGGCTAAGGCTGCATAAAACTCTGCCCCTCTGGGTCTGTCCTTCTGCTGGTGTGGAGATGAGGTGGAACTGGCAGCAGGAATGGTTCAGGATATGCCTTACCAGCAGGATTTCCTTTAGCATGGGTGTCCTTGTTTTCCTGCATCCCACTGTGCTCAGCACAGCTCTGCTGCTGTGTTGGCCATGGTGGTGTAGGCCAGCTCAGGCACCTCTGAGCATTTCAGTGTGCTGCCCAAGAGGGCAGGGAGAGTGCCCAGGTTCTGGCAGGGACAGTGGGAGGGAGCACAGCAGGACAGACCCCTTTGGGTGTCCTGAACTCTTGGGTCAGGTCTCTCTCTCCGTGGTTATGTGTGTCCCAGCCTACCCACAAGCATGTCCTCAGAGACACCAGGGCCCTGAGAGAGCCTCCTGTCTGTGAGCCCACAGTCAGGTGCCAAGCACTGCCTCACACCAGTGATGGCTTTTTTCCCAAGTGCTGAGCACTGCTGTCCCTCAGTGTTTTGGGGAGTTGTGAGCATTGTAGGGGCATCTAAAGCTGTGGTGCTCCTGGTACTCAGGTCTCACTTGGGTTTCTCCACCTCCTTTGCTTTTGGCACTCACTGCCAGAACGGGCTGGTGTTGGCTGAGGAGAAGTCACCCAATACTGCTCCTCCCAAAGTGGCTGAGGTCTACTGAGTTTCCCACTTGTTTTGTAAAGTCCTGCTCATGCAAGAACCACTGCCTATTTGCCAGTAAGATAAGAAGTATTTGCCATGTGTTGAGGAGATCCAAGAGCACTGTTAGCTTTTGAGAGACCCCAGGAAGCTCTCACCCTCTCCACCTCCCTAACAGATGCTTTGAACAGGAGATCCCACTCTGACACTGGGCATAAGACAAATACTAAAGAGAAGGGAAAGGGTGTCCCTTACGCACGTGTGGCCACTGCTTCTGGGACATACACAGACAAAATGACGCAGAAAAATTGGAGAGCAAGTGAGACCTGAGTACCAGGAGCACCACAGCTTTAGATGCCCCTACAATGCTCACAACTCCCCAAAACACTGAGGGACAGCAGTGCTCAGCACTTGGGAAAAAACCATCACTGGTGTGAGGCAGTGCTTGGCACCTGACTGTGGGCTCACAGACAGGAGGCTCTCTCAGGGCCCTGGTGTCTCTGAGGACATGCTTGTGGGTAGGCTGGGACACACATAACCATGGAGAGACCTGACCCAAGAGTTCAGGACACCCAAACTGGCTCATAGCACATAATTTCTGCCCCTAGGCTTGTCTGCACACAGGTTTTGTGCCATATGTACCAAGTAATCTTTGTAGCATAAGAGTATTTTTATGAAGACAGAAATATGCCAAATAACCAAACTACTGATGCATCACAGAACACATAGATCTTTGAGTGCCTACATGGTGCTACAGTTGCTTCTGCACTCACAAAGGAGGGAAATTCTACCAATTAACTTAGTCTCTTCTAGATAAATTAATATAAAACCTGTGTTTACACAAATGCTTGCAGTGAGAGACTAGAGAAATACATTCTGTTCTGTTTATCAAAGTGAGAAAACACCATTTAATCACCATCTAGGATAATTATTCAGGGAGGTGATGTTGGGTCCTAAATGGATCTTTAATTCAGCAATACAAGATCAGCCAGCTGGTGGTTGAAGGAAGACAATTGAAAGGCAATTAACTATTATGCAGCTTAATGGTGCACGTGGTGGAATCTCCATCACTTGCCATATTATCTCAGGATGGGCTTTGTTTCTGACAGAGCTGCTCTAGTCCAGGCCAAACACAAGCTATTGGGCAGAGAATGGGCTTTATTCGTGCAATTTCTCAGCTTGTTTATTTCAGGAGATCAGGAAGCTTGTGATAACATTTTCTGCCACTCCTCATCTCTGACCCTTGGAGATCAGACTAGCCAGGTTTATGAGATGGGCTCAGATCCAGTTTACCAAGCTCACAATGTATCAATGTAAAGCAGTAAATCTCTTCCCAGCACAGTAGAGCACATTACAGCAGTGAGGCAGTGTCAGCCCATCTGATTCCTGTGGCACTCTATGCAGCGCACCAAGAATTTCTTTCTAGAAATTTAGGCTGAGGAAAGGCCAGGTCATGTTTCACCTCAGTCTATCTCCAGGTGAATGCATTGTAGCACCTCTGCCTTGAGAAGGTGGAGGGACAGCAGTGCTCAAAGTCATTGCAGTCTGCTCACACCTGGGGAAAGGTGAAAGCTGTGCTAAAGAGAATTCTTATAATTTGTCTGAGACCCATCTATAAAATTCTGACAAAACACATGAGAGTAACCAGCCTGAGGAAGACCAAAATCAAATACTTGCAACACTGCTGTTGTGAGGACAGGTGGAAAGTCAATGCAAGAAAGCAAAATATCTGTGGAAGTCTATTTGCAAGACAATCTCTAAGATGAGGAACCAACGTGGAGCTTCCAAGCCAAATCAGAGCCAAACCATCTTTCTTCCCCTCTAGGCCTTGCAGCATCCTACAGAGCACAGTTGGAGGACCATCAGTCTGAGAGCTGAAGAGCAGAAATTGTCCAGGACAGCAATGCAGGCAATAGCACACTGCACTTGTAGGCATTGTCAGACCAGCAGTTCCCAAGCTGTGCTCAGCAGCCTGGGGACTGATCTGTGAGATGGGCAATACCACACTGACAGGTTGAGAGGCTGGCTGCTGATATGGCTGAACTAATGCAGGGGAGGCCACAGAGCAGCATGTTCAGTGACAGAGCCTGGCCCAGGCTGGGCTGGGTGACACACCAACATGCAAGGGGTGCCCAGCTCTTTAGCACCTCTGTTGGGCCTGAGCCTTGCACACTGTAAATTAATGTTACATGTATCCTGCCAGGAAAATGGCACTGCTGGTTTTGTGTCTTACCTGAAAGAGGTTTTGCTTCAATGGGCTCACATATTTCACCAGCCTTCTCCATGCTATTACAGATTGTGGGTTTGTTCTCCTCATAGCTCCTGAGTGTTTGCAGAAGCCTTTTTGCATTCCAAGTGCCACTATCTTCCTTCCCTTTCTCTTTCTTCAGACTCCGTCTTGATTTCCGGATACTTAACATGGTTTTAATGCCTCTTTCAAAGAACCCACTGTCCCTGCTCTGCCAGTCTGAGCTGCTCAGTTCAGAAGTGACCTCCATCTTTTCCTCCCCTGGACTCTTGAGTGGAGAGGCTGGTTCTGAGGTCACACTCCTTGTGTCTAACTCCATATTTCTATTTATCTGGTCCTTCAACAGGAGCTTTACCAAGCAGGTTGATGGCAATCACTGAAATGCATAAAACAGCAGAATTAGAGATGTCCTTAACAGGGTATTAGTGTGTCTCCAAAGTCAGTCCTGGACTGAAAATCTGGGCCATTCCTTTCCTGTGCCTAAATACAAGGACAGAGCAAGATGTTGTAGCCTGTAGCTGCTGAAACAATTTCTCTACCCACAGACAGCAGATGCTGGCCTCACCTGGTGCTCTGGAAAGCTTCACTTAACTCCATAAAACAGGCAAGTGTCACCTATTTCTCCAGCACCAAGGAATCATGAGATAGCAGAGATGTTGAAATTTGTGTAAACATACCATTTCAGTGAGTAACCAGATATGGTTTTACTTTCCATTCTTCTAGGTGGATTTCCAGCCATGCAGGAATAATAATCTTCCTGAATCTCACTGGGTTGTTGCCACTTTCTGATGTGAATATGGGTTTTGTTGCTACTTCTGCCCTGCTCAAACCCTGCTGCTGGAGGTGGCCCAGGGGTGAGTGGTTCCCAGCAGGTGGCTGAGCTCTGCTCTAGCCCCTTCCACCAAAGCCACAGCTGTCTCTGCACTCTGAATCGTCATGGCTACAGCACAGGAGGCAGTACAAGGCAGGAAGGGTTCACATCACTCATCCTGCCTCAGAGCACTGCATCCCAGTGTGCCAAGGATGGAGATCTCCAGGGTCAAACAAACTCTGCACAGGCCATAGGGGATGCTGCAGGAGATTCCAGATTTTCTGTCAGTGCTGCTGGGCTGCAGTCACAGCCTCTGCACTTGCTCAGTTCCTGCCTTGCTGCAGACAGCCTCCCCTCTGCCCACCCTGAGGGCTGCCCAGGTGTTTGGGAAGAGGGAGGAGTGAAGTTTTGCCTTCCCTCGTTTGCAAAGGGCTCCCAGACCAGCTGATACAGCCCATTCACAGTGACATTGTACATTGCAGTGCCCTGAGAATGCAAAATGTCACATTTCTCCAGAGCAGGCTTAAGGCAACTGAGTGAACAGTTCAAATTAATAGAAACAGCTATTGCTTGAGGTGACACAGGAACTGCCTGTCTTGGGTCTGTCCAGCCCACAGAAGCCAGAGATTGAAAAATAATTGCAGTCAATAGACATGTTGGGACTCTAGAAATAGATCTCATCCTTCCTCACTCAGAGTTTTGCTCCCTTGTGCATGGTTATTTCACAGGCTGTGAAGTGCAGGGATGACATCTTCCATGGGTTTGCTGAGCTGCTCACCCAGTGAGGCCCAGACCCTGCCTCACACACTCCCACAGGAGGGAGTATTTAACCACTCACTGCCTTGCTCAGGAGCTCACCATCACAGCCCATACAGAGGGTGGGAAGGAGAGGAGGGCACCCCATGCCCAGGGATTGCAGTGAAAGGAGGCTGAGATCTCAGCTCAGACTCTGCAGGGGGGTTCTGCAGACAGAGCGGAGCAGCAGCAATGCTCAAAGGGGTGAATGACACAGTGGAGAGAGCCAGGGGAAAAGGAGTAAAAGGTGTGAGCCCACGAGAAAGGAAAGGAATACATACCCCAGGACTGACAGCACTGATCCCCTCAGCAGCCAGCCGGGATAGCACAGGTGTGATCCACAGAACCTGGGAGCAGCTCCGTGCTGCAGGAAATCCAGTGAGCAGCGCTGCAGGACAGAGCTCTGGGCCTGCTCAGCTGACTGGGGCACCATCCCTCACACAGAGGGGGCTCCCTCTGGGAATGGTGCTGCTCTCCATCCTCCTTTACCCTCTGAAAAAGGCTGTTAAAAGTGAAAAAAAAAACGTCTGTCTGCTCCTGCCCAAGAGCTCCAGCACCTTCACTTGTTTGATCTCTGGAAAGGACTCAGCACTGTTTCACTTTCACTACACTGAGCATTTAAAAGAAGAGGTGGGGAAAAAAAAATTCCAGGTTAATTATTACCCTACAAGGTGAGACAGGGCCTTGAGCCAGAGGTTCTACAATGGGGTGAGCTGCTGCCTTGAGATGGCCTGGGGCAATGAAGGCAAGGAGGATTTCAGGATGTAGTCCTGTCCTGACGGGCTGAAGCCCCACATTATCTGGGTAGGGGGGTTCAAAAGCAGCTCCAGAGCTGCTGTGTGGAATGGCTGCATTTCACCCCCTTCTGCAGGTCTGAGTTTGTGCAGGTCACGGGTGGTTTGGTCCATGGGTGGTAATGATTGCCAGAGCTGGGTGAGGGACAGGGAGTAATGTGTCCCCTGGTTAAATATTATATATTCACATCCTCCCTTTGCCCTGTGGGCACTTATTTCCATGGGGTTGCTAGCCCTGGATCCCTCCATTCTCAGAGCATTTGGGAACTTTAGAGGGAACTCAAAGCAAAAGAGCACGAAATTAAGGGCCTTGAAGGTTTAAACAGCATTAAACACAGTCACTTGGTTTGTCACTGAGTTGTGTAAAATGATTTAACCCTGGGGCTCCTTTAGTGCCAAGATGGAGGCAAGTCAGGCTGCCAGGTGTCCAAGGTCCTGGTGTAAAGCAAGAGAGGTACATCAGGAGGTGTCACCATGCCATGAGCAGTGTGCACTTCTTTGCTTTTAGAAGCTTGCCAGCATGCCACCTGTCCCTGTGATAAGGGACATCAGAGAGATTAGTGATGGATAGATGCAATAAATGGCATTTGGACTTTGTGCTGTGCAGAGGAAAACAGAGGGAGGGAATGGAGGATAACAGTCTCCTCTACCTCTGGGAGAGACTGTGTGTTCAGGAGATGGAAAGTGTGTGGGGTGGGAATAACTACGATCATATTAAACAGGGGCTTGGTGTGAAATTGTCCTGATGGTGAGATGGGACTGGGCAGAGGATCATTTGTGGCTGCCCCATGGTGCAGGGGGAGTCCTGCCTGAAGCCTCCCTCAGCCAGGCAGTGCAGTGCTGAGCTTTCTGTCCTTGGGCTCTTCAAAGTCCTGTGTAAGCCAGAGACTGCCCTGCTGTACTGGGGAAAACCATTACTGATAATGCTCCTGCCACCTGGCAGGCTGACAATGTGAACAAAGGAATGAGCTGTTTATTTAGACACAGGTTGAGGGGTGGAAATCCCCTTTGGACACAAAGTCCAACCAAACCTCTTTCCATCTAGGTTTTAATTGCCTCATTCACAAAATATTTATGTGGTGTTGGTTTGTACAGACAGGCTCACTGTGACTGGTGTGCTGCCAGAGCAGGCAGCAGGTCCAGCATGGATGGGGTCTGGTCTGGGCCTCTCTGGGGGCTGTCAACTACCCCAAGTCACAGCTAGCACCAGAGCTTGCTGGGATGTCAGACAGAACCCTGAGGGAGCTCTGAGTCTCACAGTCTGGGTCACCTCTTTCCCTGCAAGCCTTTCTGGTGCTCTGTCCTTGCAGCAGCTCTCAAGGAATGCTCCTGTTCCTGGAAATGCCAGCAGGGCAATGCTGTTTCCAGGTGTCTGTCCACAGGAGGTCGTGGGAAATGAAAAATGTACTAGGTTTTGCAGCTGTTTTCCATTTTTCTTCAATTATGGCAGCGTTCTGTCAAGTTGTAAGTGCATTAAAATGTGCAGGGGTGTTGCTGTCTAACAGCTCCCTAATGCCCTGCACTCACAAACCTTGGTGAGCCTTTCAACTGCTGCTTTGCCTCCTGACCCTTTGGAATATTTGGTTTGGGGTTTATTTGATCCCTCATCTCTTCTCTGTGTCTTTTGCTCATATTTATTTTCTTCTTTCTCATTTATTTTCCTGCAATAACACCCATGGAGCAGTGTAGGACTCCAGAGGTGCAGTGTTCCTTGGCAGAGGTGAGGGGCAGGGAGAGTGGTTTGGGGAATCCTACAATTCCCTCCATAGCACTCAGGTTTTCATCAGCTCCAAAGACCAGGAGAAAAACATATTTCTGAGGCTCCAGGGGAACACTGACATGATGCATGGTCAGAAAGCTGTGCCAGATGCCCCCTCACAGCCTCAGCAACCCAGCTGGCACAGCCCTGGTGGGGCATGCTGTGACCCACTCCCTTTCTGCAGGTTTCTCACTTGAAATCTCATCCTGTGTGGGTGGAGGAGACCCCAGAGCTGCAGTGATTTATTGCAGCAGTGAGGTTTGATATTTTTAACAGCATGGGCAATGATGGATGAGGCAAAGACATGCTTGGAGGCTGCACATGCCTATGCAGCCATTTCCTCCTGAGGGGTGGTTTGCAAGGAAATGAGAGATATTGTTTCACCTGAAATATTTTTCTTTCTGCTTTTAGGTTGAGGGAGGTTTGAGCCTTAAGCTGAAAAGTCCATTTGCAGGAAAGAAGCAGGTTGTGATTTAGATGCTGGCTTTTACAGAAGGGATGCTCATCCCCAGGTTTCAGTGGAAGAATTTGGAAGGTGCATTTCTGCACAGGAGAAACACAGGAGTGGTACCACATCTGGGAGAGGATGTGGTCCAGACCTAAGGATTGTGTCCTACACTGTTCCTGTGTAGCCATGGGAGGAGACCACTTGAACTAGTACATATCACACCAGGGAACAAAATCACAAGTTCATCCTAGGTGCTTTTGAAGGTTAGACATCAAAGTTTTCCTTCCTCTCCTCCTAGAAAAGGTCTGGAACAGGCCTTTTCAAGCAGGATCTCTCACACTGGTTTTCTTCTTTTGAAGTGAAATTGTTTTAACACCTTCAGCAAGCCACCAGCCCCACGTGCTATGCCAGCTGTGCTGAAGCATGCCAGGACTCATGTGAGCCCAACAGGAGTGGCAGGGATGGGAGACAGGCTTTGCCACTCATTCTTGCTGCAACAGCCCCACAAGCACGTTCTGCCAGCAGGCACAGAGCAGCCCCCACTGGCTCCAGAGCTGTGTGGTGCAGCCAGGGCTGGGGCAGTGCCTGTAAGCTCCTCCAGTCTGGCAGCAGCTCTGCTCCTGGGGATGCTCAGCTGGTCCTGTGGTGAGCATTTCCTTCTGCTTGTTTGTGACTGCTGTGAGCTGCTGGGTAGATGGATGGGAATTGCTAA